TAACAGGGTTGTAGCATAATATTATTTTTAATATTATAATTTATTTCGTGGTGACATAAATTTCAGATTACAAAACTCGTGCCTCGAAACTTCCCATATTTTTTTAATTAATATTACACCATAAACTTCAGTTACTTGGCTGTAAAATTGCTTGTTTATACCTGCATTGTGTGCTTTTTAAATGCAAAATATCTAGAGCATTATTTTACAATTTTTTTGCTAAGCCATAAAACTAATCTTCCAAATCTAACCGCAGTTAACGATAAACTATTAGCCTGAGCTGAAATAAAAACTAATGTGGGAACCAAATTCCTCAATGAAATTAAGAAAAATCAGTTAACATATTATTAAATCAGTAGAAAGGGAGCAAATTTCTTGGCAAGCTGAAATATTTGCCGCACTTAAATCTTAACTAAAACATGCGCTTAGGGGGGAGAAAAGACTCTTTCTGATAAAATTTCTTTGAGTAATTCGGAGTGTTGTGTTTCAAAAGCTTTTAGAGTTATTAGGTTTTTTTTTTTTTTTTTTTAAAGCAGAAGAGGTGAAAATTGTGCAGTGCCCTCTTCGGGACTTGAACGCTGGGACCTGTCGAATATGCATCGAGTATGCTTCCAATTACACCACCAAGGCATGCAGAAAGGAGGGAGAAAATATTCTATATACTTATAACTAAAAAATGCTATTTTCCATTCCATGGAAGACACCTTATGTTATTTATTCAAACAATATTTCAAAGTTTTGTTACTGTGTTCAGAGAACTTGAGCAAAAAGATTTAAAAGTAATGGCTAATCTCTCTTTTTATACAACTTTTATCTTCTGCATCATTTATAAAATTGCAATAGTAATTTCTGCGAAGCATTTACATCTGAACTTTTCTTTTATGTTATTGTCTTCCGTTATTTTTGCATTTAAATAACCATGATCCTCCTCTACCTTTTTAACTTTACCATACACTTTAAATGTATCGGCTGTCAATTTATATCTAAACTGACAGCTAAAATATTTCCCTTAAGAATTAGACTTAATTTAAAGAAATATATCATTACTGCAACATACTAACAGGAAAAAAAAAATTAGTCAGAATCTGACTGTCAAACAATGTTTACGAAAGAAAAGTTTGCTTCTGAACTGTCATTTGGGAAGACCTAATGACAATAATCTGAGTCTAAAATACTTGTAGAATAAATTTTCCCAGAAAGAGTTCTTTTAAAGACATTCATTACGAGCCATCTGTCGTATGAAGAATTTTAGCTTTTGTGAGACAGCGGAGGGATATAATACTAGCAATAAATGTTTACTGGTTTTACGAAACGAGGATGTTTACTGAATGTTGTAAAGCCAGGCATAAGAAATTGAAAATTTGAAATTCAGTTTCGAATATATGTCAAATGCTGGAAAATTTGATTTACACTAATATCTTTTACCTTGACGTGTAACTGATTTTAAGTATTTATCATGTTACAAGGCACATGAAAATTACATTTATATGTTACAGAATTTTTGAAAAATATTTTCTGTCGATTTATTCATATTTAAATATAACTGAGACACTGAAAGTTTTTGTTAAAATGAAATTTAATTTCATAGAAAAATTCCAGAAGTAGTGTTTTGCTTCCAACATTACAGAATTGCATATCATAAACATTTTAAAACTTAAATCCTCATATTTCAGAATCTAATACCAAATTTGTTTAACAACGATCTGTGCCATTTTGATAAATTCGATCACAAAACGTAATAATATTAATAATAATAATAATCGTAAATTTTCTCCAGAGAATAAATAGAATTAAATGGTTTCACTTCTTGGTTATTTAGTTTTTTATTCAAAATTATTATTCCGTTTCGAGGATTTAGATTGTTTCGTGTTACCAATTACTTTGCTAGGAAAACTATGGCATTTGGTTTGCCAATGCCTGTGCCAAAAACCGCGATGCGTCGTTAGAAAACACAGATTTGCTTCCATAAAGGTTTTTGCTGATGTCAATAAACTACATTAAATTAAGATAGTAATTACTTTGAATTTTTACTTATGTATTTTTTCTGCTAGCAGTATTTTCATGCAGATTTTAATATATAATACGTTATTCGAGTTATTTTTCATCTTTGTATAAAAGGATACATTATATCAACGCCATGAATATTTACCTGTTATTAATTATGGAATTATAATAATTATGGATTATTATAATAATTATGGAATTCAGCATATTTACTATTACGTCATTTAATTTTAGATGTGAGCGTGACTTGAAAGAGGAAGTAAACTTATGATGTTATCGCATTTCGTTAGATCATCATGATCATTTAGAATGAGCATTCGAAGAACATGCATTTGTCGAAAGTTGTCGGTATGTTTATTTATTATTGAAATAATGGGTTATTAAAAAAGTTGAAAAGAGGTAGTATACGCGAATTTATTCTTCTCATTCAATTATAAATGCTGATTATTCTAAAATGGAAATCACTGAGTTTGTTTTCAATAAAATGCATGAATGCAAAGTCCTTTTCACTTTATAATGTTGCATGTATGGAGTTGGCGATAGCAAAAGAAATTCCAATAATATTTCATTGGCTCACTTGTTGGAATTTTTAAATTTATAGCAACAGTAAGTGTATAACTTTTCCAAAGTTTCGTGTTTAGACTCTAGTGATGTTTCTTAATTGTTTTGAATTCTTTTAGAAGGAAGGAAATGAAAATGACACAGCTGAGTGGATGTTCTCTTCATAACCATGGCAGGTTTGGTTTGGTTTGTAAAATCATTAGATCATTTTAAAACAGGAGACGTGAAAAATGTGCAGTGCCCTTGTTGGGATTCGAACCCTGGACCTCTCGAATGCGCTTCGAGTATACTTCCAATTACACCACAAAGGCATGCGGAAAGGAGGTAGAAAATACCTTATACGAGTATATTCGCCCTTTTAAAGGACGAGTTAGGATTGCCAAATCCTGGTCGTCGACATAGGATTTCCCAGTCGCCAAATCCTGGTGGTGACAAAATTATCGTCCACTACCTTTCAATTCGGGCGCAGCTGTAGAGTCATTAGGTTATTTTGAAGTAAGAGACGTGAAACACGGGCAGTATCATCGCCGGAATTCGAACCCTAGACCTCTCGAATACACTTCAAGTATGCTTCCAATTACATCACGAAGATATGAGGAAAGGAAGAAAAAAAACCTTATAAGTTTATCTGATTATGGCAAAGTACTTGAAGCTATCTGCCTAAGAGGAGGGATGCCTTTATAGAGGGGTTTTTAATAGAAATTAGCTCGTATCCACGTTACACATGGGGAAAACACGAAGCTAGCCTATTTACCGACATTTGAGCCCAAAAGCTAAACTAGGATAAGTAGAGTTTAAAGCATTTTGGTATGAAGTATTCTTAAGAATACCGGTAGTCGTGTGAGACCTGGATCACTATTATTATCGTAATCGTCTTTAATTGCTCTCTTCATACTTCCTAACCATTTAATGTAAAGTTAAGTGAAATTATATGACGGTATTTTGCCTCATACAGAAATTTTGAGTTTATGCAAGGGATATATCATAACGTAAGGAATAATTCTGTTGAAATGTTTTTAGGTCTCTACATTTAATATATTTTAACTGTAATGTTACCTAAAAAAAGTACAGACTAATACATTGCTAGAATATATCAGAATAAATAAATTTTATTATGGGTCGAATAAACATGTTTCTTTATTTTATGTAAATATTTTGATAAAATACTGAATTTTGACTAGAAATTTCCATTTTTAAATAGAAAATGTACAGAATTTTTTCTTTTCCGGAAACTTATCTTCTAAATAAATTTTGGACTTAAAATAAATTTAACTGATTATGACAAAGCATGCAAGTGATATCTGACTTAGGAGGGGTTTCGTCATGGAGGGCTTCCTAATCTAAACTTGTTCATATACTCATTAGGAAAAAGTCAACGAGAAAAACTGCAGAAGCTCGGTATTGCTAGATCATTTGGCATAGCGTGAACTCGGAATTGAACCACCAGTTTTCAGTTATCCTATTTACTCAGCCACTGGGGAGTGTTTCGTCGGATGTCTCGCATCGGTTAAAACGAAAACTTTTAAGTAAAGTTACAATATGTGATTTTTATTCTTGCATAAAATGCATCTGTATTTCTTCTCTGAGTGTTGCCACATAATTTCTTTAAAACATTATGCTGAATGTTTTGTTTTTAGATGCCCGAAATGTTTCTTTGCAAGGGATCCTGGACTACAGTTCATACTGGAATGGATGTAAAAGCAAGAATATCACTGATATGTAAGTCTGTTCATTAAATGAACTAATAATTTTGCCTATTATTATTTTCAGAAAATATTGTAATAAATTTAGAAAGGAATAGCTATTTACTAAATGACGTTCAAAACACTAGTGGAAACCGAAATATGCGTTAGAAACACTAGTTGGCGTTAGAAATACTTTTATAAATTACACTAAACGAGATAGATGTAATTAAAAGAAATGTGTGTATTGTTTTAATGGTTGAGTTTCTTAAGCAATATACAATTTTAATTTAAAAGGTAAATTAAATAGACTTATGAGGGCATGGAATGACAACATATTGGCAAATTGATCACTACCATGGAGGATAAATTTCCTAGTAGAGAAATACAATATAATGTAACGTAAAAGCGGGAAGAAAGATGTCAAAAATTAAGTTTTTACGACCGATTTTCTAAATTTTGAAATACCTACATTCTGTAAAACATGTAATTTTCAAATTAATTCATTTACAGAGCGCAGAATTTTTGATGTTGATATATGGAACAATAATGCTATACAGTAAATATATTTGATATGTTTTAAATTAGGACAAAACGCGCGCTCATTCAAACGGGACATTGAAAATCGACGCACTCGTTTAGTTTTGGTTTCCGTTCTTTGGCGACGCATTTGGCGCTAAAGCAGCCCACGTTAAGGTAACCTGTTTGACCGGACTTTTCGAAAGTGGGTTTCCTTGTGCTCTGCTCTTGCGCTCCGTCTCAGTGCCGAAGAAGGCACTGTTTAGATCAACTCCACTGCACGGGCTTCCCCAGAAACGATGCAGTAGTGACTGTGTTGACCCGTTTTCTTTTGCACTGGGCTTACGTGGGATTTGTGCCTATGAGCATTCTGTGGATATTGTACCGTGGACGACCTTCTATTTTATTTCGTGGACCGTAGTTACCATTTACTGGAATACCTTTCCAATGTAAGTAATTGTTCACATTCATTTGAATAGGGAAACGGTTTATTTATTTTTTAATATAATTCTCACTTTTAGTTGTTGCAAATACATATTAATTAATTATCTCGAGTTTTACCGTGTAGCATATTAAGTTAGGGCAAATATACAGCAGAAGAGTTCAATTATTATTATTTTTTCACAAGAAAAATAAGATTTTTTAAAAGAATTGAAATTGAAGAAAAGCGCATATAATACAAGTCCTGTTATTGTTTTATGGTTATACCTGATACTGCAGTCAAAGTTCAGCTTTGAGATATATTGTTTAATTATTTAAAACAATAAATATTTCGTATGACTTCTGAGGCTGCCTTTGATAATTTTTGTAATACGTCTATGGCATTTCTTGTCACAGGAATAATGCTCAAAAATCGGACAGTTATCTCATTTTTGTGATAATTATTATAATTTTAATTGCACTAATTTCATTTTAAGGGACAAATCTATAGTTTAACATGAAATCTTGGCATACTATGTAATTTAAGACGAAATGAACGAAATTTTGCCTTTATTTAAAATTAATGCTAAATTAATTGAAAATTCATTTTAAAGAATATCTACTTAATTGATTTAATAATTTATTACGTATTTACAGTTAAATATCAAGCAGTTTTCTCGCCATGTATGAAATGCAGTTAAATATATTTTAACTAAGGAAAACCACTTAATATTAGATGATTTTTCTTAGTGAATATGTATTTAAATGTTCCTTCAAGCAAAATACATTTTTCATTGCTCAAAATTTTTAAGCCTAATTTTGAGGCAATTTGAAAATATTATATTTCTGCAGATTCACTAATATTTGTCTCGCTAATAAATTAATAATTATTTTTAAACTCATCGTTTCCAATTTGGGCGAAAGATGTTAGAGATTGTATTGGACCAAAATTTGACATTATTTTATTAAGCGTAAAATGTTTCATTATTTATTCACGTAATAATAGAAATTTTTAAGATTATTCATTGCCCATTTTACACTAATCTTGAATACAGAATTGAGCTCTTTTTCCACGTTACTTCTCTCTTTTCCCCCCGTTATATGTCGAATGAGTATAGCATTTTTTCCTATCAATCTGTCAGCTTAATATTTTCGTGGAACAGCAGTCCGAGAAGTAAAAGCTCTTTTTGTGTTCAATGTTATGTAACTCAAAATATCAGTTAAAGAATTTTTTATTTATTTGTTTATTTATTCGCTTTTACGGTGAAATTTTGGTATATTTCTACAATACAAATTAAAAGTAATTTTTTTACTTTTGCTGTGAAATGTTATTTTAATGCGAAATAAAAATTAATATGAGAAATTCTAAGTAATTATTATCACCTAAAAATTAGGCGAAAATATTCTTGACGCACTAAATAAGAGATTTTTTTTCACTCTGAAAGTAATAGTAAGCATTTGCTAATTAACACGAATTTATTGCGTGTATTAAAACGAGAGCACAATGATGCAATTCGTAAAAGAAATTCCGAAATTTGAAATTTTTTTTGGGTCCAAATTATACTTTTTTGTTTCACTTTATAAATTTAAACAATAATGCGATAATTATTAGTCAATACTCAAGCATTTATTATAAAATTTAATGTCTTAATAAATTTATTCTACACTGCTGCTTGCATTACATTTAAAGTACCTACGTCTATTACATTTAAGGAGTTACTACTGCTTTCAAGAAAGCTTAAATTAAAAGGATTTGAATAAAAAATTTAAAAACTGCAATATCTACCTGTGGGTTTTACCGTTACCGTTTTCAATTCATTACGAAAGTAAAATGAACTAGCTTCAGAGTTCATTTTGTCCTCCCTTTCATATGGAGAGATATAAAAAAAAAAAAAAGAATTATATTCTTGTATTTTTAATTGCCATAGTGGTAAATTTAATATTAATAAGTACTAACCCTTCTGATTTATAAAAAGATGAACTGAGACCTTTTAGTTGCTTTCACTAAAAAAAAATCTCTCTATTAAATCTATCTATCTATCACTGTATTAAAAAATCTTCTCTATGTATTAAAAAATTTAGAGGAATCCTTGAACTAGTACTTGTAGTTATCCTTTTAATTAAATTATTCCTTTTTGAATTTTCGTTTGAGTAGAAAACTAGCTTTTATAAGATGGCAATGCTGATTGTTCTGTTTTACTTTTGATATTGAAACTTTCTTTCTATAAAAAGTAATTTTTTTAAGTGAAATTATACTACTGTCTTTTTATCAGAAAACAATAAGATTTTAATTTAGTTTTAATGATTAGTTTATACCTTATCACACAAATTTTCAATCAAACTTTTATTTGAAAATTTATTCTGTATAAGATTTTCCAAAGGAAAAACAAATTATATCAATTATATCACTCATAATAATTACGAAATATCTGAAGTATAGAGTTATGCAGAATGCTATTAGATTATATTAGAATTGCATAATGGCTATTGAGTTATGATAGAATCATATCATAATTATTTTGATTAATAGATGTAACTACTAAGTTTGAATAAAGATTGAAGTTATAAATTCTTACACTTTCGTTCAAGTTTTTTCTCTGATTCCAGAAATTTGTAGAAATAATATTTATTACTGTTGTTCTGCTTTATTACTATTTATTACTATTGTTCTTCTTGTTTGTTACTGTTGGTCGCTTTAGAAGGAAGAAACTTCCTAACAAATAACGAAATAATATTTTTTTTTTTCTTTTTTTTCTTAGTATTCCAATATTTTTTTTCCAATGACAAGCACTTGCCTATAACGTCATTAGCCACTCCTAAGGCCAAAAGTGTTGGCCATTTTATGGTGGAATCACTTAACAGGCGGCCACCGTTATCTCCTATGATGGGACACACGATTTTACAACCATGCCTTCTCTGGGATTCGAACACGGGCCCTTCGGTATCACAGCCAGGCCTTACCTAACCACTATACTGAAATTACTGTCGAAATTTTCTTTTTAATGTTTAATTCTTTATAAAGGGACCTAAATATTTAAAATATTTTCTTTTAGCTGTAAAACACAAAATAAAATTTCTATTTTCGTGCAAATCTTTTCCCTGATTCTAGAAATTGGTAGGAATAATATTTACTAGTATTGTTCCTTTCTTGATTATGGTCGCTTTAGAAGGCAGAAGCTTTCTAACAAATAACCAAATAATAACTTTTTTCTTATTTTTCTTATTATTCCAATAAATTTATTACTCTAATAAAATTACTGTCGAAATTTTTTTAAATACTTAATTCTATATAATGGGACCTGAATATTTAAAATATTTCCTTTTAGCTGTAAAACACGAAAATATAATTACTATGTTTAATAATCAGAGAAAAACGTTTTGTTTGTACATATGTAATAATTAAGATAATCTGCTCTTTAGGGACTTCTTGAAATTGGAGATGAGTACGATTGAGTTTTTGTGTTATTTATTACTTACCTGATCTCCGTCCTCTAACCTAAATATTTCCGCGCCTTTTCAAATTCCTAATCACGATAGCTCTTCTAATTCCGTGCGATATAAGATTTCCCATTAATCATACATTATGACAGTACATTTTTTCCACTGCACTGAACAATTTAAAAACAATACACATTCTTCTTAATAATAATATTAATGTTTATACTGTTACCATACTTATTAAAGCACATTTGGGTGCCCTTGTTACAAAATGTTTTCATTAGTAAAAATAAAACTGAAAAAATTATTTAAAAAAATTCTGGAAGGTTTCAGATTTTAAATTACGTCCAAAGGGGTGTTTTTTTTTAATACTTTGTGTGTTACATTTATTATTAAATATCACGTTCTTCGCACTTACACTATAAAATTCAGTTCAACAGCAATATTGCGAAATAGTTTTAAAATGAGCATATCTTTAGAATTTCCGATGGGCAGTCTCACGCGCTGAAGATAAAAATATTTTATCCGTACAATGTTGCCATTGCTCGCTTTGAAATCCTTGAGTTTTTTAATCAAAAATTCGTTAAAGTTTTACAAAATATGAAATCGATAATAAAACAAATTCCAAATTTGAAATTTGGGCTTCCACATACCCATATTCGTAGGAGGATTACGTTATTCAAAATTCCATGGCTGTATGTACCGTTGTTTTATCACAATGAGAGAAAGATACATACATTTATGCAGATTTTTCATCGTTTAATTTCTTCAAACATAATGCAGGACTCTAACATTTGGTGGCAACAGTTTGAAAAGTGAAACGGACATTTATACTGAACCAACGCAAAATCTCCAAACGAAAACAAGAGTCCTTCAGGGACAAAGCCCCTTTGGACTAAAAATTAATCAGTTATTAAAAAAATTTGCTTAATTATTATTATTATTATTATTATTATTATTTTTTTTTTTTTTTTTTTTTTTTTTTTTTTTGCATAATTAAAAATTTTAAACATTAATACTAAACTATTATTTAATACGAAATGTTGTCTCTTGTAATTTTAATAAACGTGAAAAAATTCGTTTGCTTATTATGGGGCACTGCGGAATCCTGTTATATTCCAAATTGATATTGAAGCATTTGCTTACACTTACATGCGGAATTTCTTTCATATTTGTGGCTAAAAAGACAGGATAATACCACATAAGGATCACTCGTTTTTTTATTGATAACAGAAGGTGTTTTCTTTTATTATTATTCAAAATGGCAACGACACCATGCGAATTAGCCTACTTGCACTGAAAGACTTCGTTGCGTGAGATCTTCCGATCATCAGGCAACCTTCCGCACGTGACATCATCTGTTAGAGAATCGACTATAATGGCGACCACCGACTAACAAAGAAACTATTTATTTATTTTCTTTGGGTTGAAAATTTCGATAATGAAATGCGAAAGCTCCAATCGACACAAAAAACAACATTCAAATTCTTTTTCCATCATTGTTTATTGTTAAAAAGTCTTGGTGATTGGCCGACTTGGAACGATTCCAGATTCTCTTTGTTCGGGAAAAGTTCGCCTGCTTGGAATTTCG